GGGGAGAGCGCAGCCCCCGGGCCGGGGGGCCATCAGGACAGCGAGGTGATGTTGGAGCGTCCTCCCGGTGGGGCCATGATCTTCTGAGCCGTGCGTCTGGCAATGTGGTCGTCCGCCTGCGACCCTAGGGAAGAGGAGAGGCATGGGGTCTGCTGCCGGCACGGTGTGGGTGTCCCGCTGCTTTAAATGCACAAAGCGTAACGTGTTCCCTTCGTGGGAAACACTGCTGTTTTCGTTATACGTAACTGCGGACACTGTACTGTCATAGCACAGTTTGGAAAGGTGTTATTTGCCTGAACGTCTTTATTTTTTTATTGCTTCTTTCTGGAAAATGTTGCAAGTGGCTTTCCTATAAATAAACAGTTTTTATATAACAAACTGTGGGGCCTTGTGCATTTTAAACAATATATGATCCATCTGATTTCAACCAGCTAAGAAAACAAAATTACAAAAGTCATTTTATGGCAGAGCATTGGCTCTCCAAGGTCCCTAAAGCTGCCAGGCAGATTTCTGCAGGATGCTGAGCTGAGCGATGCTGAATCGCTGCCTGCTCACACAGAAACTGTCTTTTTGGTTCCTGAAAATGGAGTTGTTTGGCTGATCTCTACCAACCCAACCACTTCTAACCCCTGACTCGCAGCAGCCGGGGCTGAAGGGCCGACCCCCCGACAGCCACGGCAGCGTCCCCATTGACCTGGGCAGGGCCGCGGCGAGACCCTCACCTTCAGCCTCATCCCTCTCCTCCCCATTGCTGCAGCCTCCGCCCTCGCGGTGCCGGTGCTCGCACCCCCCGCCAGGCTTTGGGATATACATTTGTCAGTGCATTTACACTGTACAACATCCTAGAGACCTCTGTGCCGCATTTAGTCCCTAGGCTGCTGCAACAGTAAGAATTGCTTTTTACTGAGCAAAAATTAAGTTTCTGTTCCTCAGCTTTGCCCCGACACTCACACACGCACGAGACTTTGTGATACCCAGGCCAACCAGCCCCCCTGCCCCCGGCCCCGACGTTCGGGGGTCCCCGGGCCCTACCAGACAAGCTGAACCCCGACTGATGGAGGTTGCGCACGGGAGGGGCCTGGGCTTTGCCGGCACAGGGCGCCATCCTGGACGCCGGGGTGGTGCCCACGGCTTTGGCGCTGGCGAGACCCTCGTGGACCGGTCCGTCGTACAGGCCTCGGGGGACGCCATGGACCTCAGCCAGCTACAAGGAGGGGAGGAAGAGACACGTAAGGTGCATGATGGCTCGACATCAATTTAATTCTCAGGCTCGACATTAGGAAGAACTTCTTCACTGTCAGAGTTGTTAGGCATTGGAACGGGCTCCCCAGGGAGGTGGTGGGCTCACCATCCCTGGAGGTGTTCAAAAAATGTTTAGATGTGGCGCTTCGAGACATGGTTTAGTGGGTTTAGCGGGCATGGTGGCATCAGGTATACGGTTGGACTTGATGATCTTTGAGGTCTCTTCCAACCATAACGATTCTATGGTTCTATGAAGCTAAGGGCAACAAGAACCAGGCCCAAGCGATAGGTCATTATCCTTCTGTCTGTGCTTAGCCCCGGACTGAGGGGTTTTGCCCCAGCTGACGTCACCCGGTGTCACCCTCGGGGGTAGGGAGGGCGAGCTCAGCCCCGGGCGCTCGGGCTGCCAGGGGAGCCAAAGCCGTAAGGACTTCGTCACCTAGGGTTCATCACGGATTTGCTCAAGGCTGTTTCTCGTCCCAGGCAAAGCAGTGACAGCCCTTCGACAACCACAGGGTCAGAAGGGACTTGTTTTGACGATGAAAAGTGCCAAGTTTCAAATTAAAAAGGTACAACTGATAGGTTATCAAGACACGTATAGCATTTTCTGTAGAAATTTTTCTCTTACATGACCTTTGTCTTCATCACGCTGCATATCTTGTGAAGAAAATACCCTGCTCAATGTTTTCCAGCACTCTTTTTGACCATAACTTTTGTCGAAAGCTCCGGTTAAATCAAGGATGGAGAGCTGGCATGGGCAGGGCTGTTTGCAGGGAGCTGAACACGCCTGCCCGAACACATCAACCGAAGAAACCAAGGGCTCACCGCCGGGGCTGACGCCCGGTTACCATCCTGCCAGAGCAGGGACTTCAGCTCACTCTGCCTCAAGGTTTGTCTTGAGCAAACTCCAGCCTTTATGATAAGAAACAGGGCCCAGGGTGTCTGCTTCCACAAC